AACAGTGATTTATTCGAGCGGCTTGCGTTAAAAAATTGTAAAATTGATAAATTTAAACAACGTATAAGTTGAGCTAAGAGCCCACAAAGTTTTTTCGCAAATGAGTCTAGAATTAATAAGATGGAACAAATGCGGCCAGTCCATGTAGATATAAGTCTTCTAAAGAACTTCAAAATTACTGAGAATGCACACAAGACTTAACGCTGACATAAAGGCATTGTCAAATATCTTTGAAAAAGGAATAAAAAGCTGTCGTTGTTTTTGTTGCTAGTTGAGTTATTGGAGTTTTCAATACGAGAGAGTGAAAGTTGATTCGGAAAATAAAATATGGCAACACAAATTAGAATTGTTCAAGTAAGTGCACAGTTTGCGGACTTAATTCGGAAAATTCGAATTGAAGGTATATTAGTTACAACACTAAATACTAAATCTTGTTTGGTAGAACATAAATCCAACTGGTAATTTCGGACGCATGGATACATTGACCTTCATGCCATTGGATAAATGAACACGAGGTACATCGTGCACGTTGGCCCCGGTGAGTACATGCGTTTTCTCGTTTCGTTACACTAGGACAAAGTTTGCTTAATTTAGTGAAAGTTCATTAGCTTGTATTGCATTTTTTTGGCTGATCACAACTGGTGTGTCAGCATCGTCAAATGTAGGCATGCGACAGGACAAGTGTCCACTTTTAAATATTGTTTCCCAGGCCGGTAAAGGCGAGCGAACGTGGTGCAAACATCACGTTGTCATGCATGACACCGTTTCATTTGTCCCCTAACGATAGCGAGGGGTGTGGTATCTGGGTTGATCTCTCCAAGTCGTCAGCGAACTGTTGAGGAGTTTCCGACGGAGGCAGGCGACAGACATACGGGGCTTCGATGACCTCGCCGATTAACCGTGCTTCACTTAGCGCTGAGGTCAAGCCGTCACAATTCCTTGAAGGTGATATCCGTGTCCAACCCTAATTCTAAGACCCTCCAATTTACGAAGGGAACAGGGCATTGAGGAAAGTGAAGGTCCTGTTTTACACCGGAAAAGCCCTGAGACAAGTGTGCTTCTGCGCAACCAAACGGCGAAAGACTCCTTTGCTTGCTTAAGTTAGAACACGCATGGCATACGTGCGACGTCGGAAAAACTGAATGCCTTTCGGCATTGGCCGGGCTGGTTTCTTTTAACCAGTGTTTTATCCAACATTTCGCTGATAGCACGGCCATTGAATTGATTGACCGAACACTTATCTGAACGAGTGACTGTCAGCACGCTTTCGACTAACATCAATCCCGGTTCTTATGCTCCCTAATAGGGATACAGATGTGCTAATTTTGATCTTAGATACGCAAGGGAGTATATACTTGATTGTGTGCCTTCATAGACAAATGAAACATATCGATAAAAGCCAATTTATTTTGCTAGCAAAACTTTGACAAAAGCCCAACTGAGTTATCGTATGTGCTGTAGAGAACTATAAGTCATTGTTACGGTCACCAAACCATTTTGGCCGTTTTTATTGTGTAAAGCATTTATTGTCTGCCTCGAACATATGGCCCTTCAACGGTTGCAGAACCCTAAATACGCCGAAGGGTAATTGGCTGGGAGGCAGGAAATACTTCAACAGTACACGTTCACTTGTCTTTACCGGTCCGGTAAACAATATTCAAACGCGGACGCTTGTCCTGTCGCACACTTGCATTCGACGACGATTAGTCAAATAAATGCGATAAAGGCTTCATCTGTCTTTAGAAATTGACATTTTATTTTTTAGTGGTGGACCCTTTATTTCACTTCGAGTAGTCCTCCTCAGTAGCTTAGTACAGTAGTCGCCGGTTATTAAGCCCACGGTTAATAGGCCCAGCCGCTTTTTAAGCCTAGTTTGGTCTTGGCCCGAGGTGGGCTTAATAACCGGTGACTACTGTACTTCCCGAACACTGGCATGTCAGACAACACGAAACGGAGGTATCGGCACGCCACAGTTTTTGGTGTCCACGACTACATGAGGAAATTACCACTTTGTGCAACTCACGTCCAAGATGTACCCAACACGACACATGCGGGCTCCATTACAGGCAATACCAACCGGTTTCCTTTTCAAAGGGTTAGCAGAGATATTATTGGCCCACTTCCGTTCACGCCGGCAGGCTCCCGTTTTATGCCGCTTGTGATGGATCACTTCACTAACTGGACAAAAGCAGTGCCTCTCTTACGATAAGAAGTGGTGTTCGTTACCACCGCAATTTTTAGCGAACAGATATGCCATTTCGGCGCATATTTGTCAATTCATTCGGACTGTTGTGCAAACTTGGACAGCAAACGAACCCATGACGTATGTGAACAACAACCTTCCATCCCGAACGCAACGGAACAGTTGAGCGAACGAGCCGGACCTTAAATAACTTTAAAGTTTTTGCGGAGAACTACAACCCACATAACTTGGATAACCGACTTTCCGTGATCTGATAGTCCATGAGACGACTGTTTACGCCTCTGGCTATATACCTCTGGTTTCAGTTTCATGGCTAGGTTTGATTCTGTTTTAGCCGTAATGCACGGGAAACCTAGTGCGGTTTTGAATACACACCGTTTATTCTGGAACTTTGTCAAGCATCGACTGCAAATCCAAATTATTAGTCGACTTCAAGGAGTGGAACGTTTTACACTGAAGACTGCTGTGTCTCCACCTCGACCATGGGTCCTAGAAACGAGCTTTACCAGCATTTGGTCAAGTCTGGGGAGCCATTAAGCGCTGATCCTTTTGCAAAACTTTGCCATTTTTGTAATTCAGATAGCCACGACATCAGGGAATAAGATGCAATTGGCGAAAAAACTAGTTGATTGTGTGGTTACAAAAATGTTACAGTCAACAGAATTTAAAACCAGGAAAGCAGGAGGCCTACTGGCCGCACCAGAAGGTGGCAAACAACAAATAGTCAGAGACTAAGATCAGTCGCTCCGTTGTCCTAGTCGAGGATGTTCGAACCTTCCTTTGTGAATGGCCGCTTGGAACTCAATCAGGGAAGCCTTTAAGTGGTTTTGAGGAAATTACTCCCACGAAATCATCATGTATACCTGATCCGAAGTGACCATACACAGCCTTGTGTTGCGGTGCAAAGTGATTATCAAGTTTTAGGCCGCATTGATTTATATTTGTATATATAGCCATAACTGGAATGTCTGGTAGGAGTTACGATGACTAGTTAAAGTCAGTGTAAAGTATAAGTGCAAGACCCTTTATGCTTCGTCTTTACAGAAATTTCAGCAAGGCAAAGTAGTTATAGGGTTTTAACAGAGTCGTTGAGCCGTTTTTAAAAAGCATTAACATATGTGTTGCTTCAAGATCTATTTCTACAGGCTAGCCTAAAATGGACAAAAAGTGAGTGCCTGGGTCATGGTGGTAAATCTGCTGACAACTCTTCTTATTTTTGCATACGATTGTGCCATCGGTTTCACATTAACAAGCAGTAATATTTATAGCATCCAAGTTACCCTAGTAAATCGCACTTTCTCGTAAGCAAGATCAGGCTAGACGCTCTCACTTTCCAGAATGGGGTGAATAAGACACCCATGCATTTGACTTAACGCTCCGTTGGATATGGGCCCAACTCACAGTCAATGTCGCTTACTGGATCAGAAGGCAAATTGAATATCGTAAAGCATACGAAATTCCGTTTTAACTTAAATCAGGAACCTACTTGCTAGAGTTTCCAAAGATCAACTTGTTTGCTAACTGTGGAGGTGAATTGTATACCCGCCCAGTGACTTTTCTTCTGCTTTAGTGATGTCCGTTTGGGGAAGTAGCTGACATGTTAACTGTTCTGTAAGTAGAAGTGTATGAAAGTATTACGATCTTGTGATAAAACCGAAAGTTATGTTTAGTGGCTCCTATGCCCCAGCAACTCAACAGAGAAATTAGATTGATTTTTCTACAAAATCGACACGGGCATAAGCAAGAAAAGGAGATAAATGTATTTCAATCCATTCTCTGAACAACTGGTGTTATCGATGTTAAACCTAGGCAATACGTATACAACTTCCTTTGTTCCCCCTTTTGCAAGTAAATTAATGCATCCAGTCTTGTTCCCTATTCCCCATAGACTTGGTAAAGATCGTTTGTCGACTTCTCGATGCAGATGTTACTGATGAGGGTAAAATTTCGTTTTTTATACAGTTCCTGGTTTCGCTACTCAGGTCTACATTTCAGTCTTCTCCATTGCCTAGCAATAGTTGTTTTATCATTCTTCTTTTATTTGCTGTTCCATTCTAAAGGCAATGAAGTCCTTTTATCTGACTTCACTATGCAAAAAATTGCGGTTTGGCCATAGATGCCTGCGAAAACTGACCAGCTCTTCTGAGGTGAGCCCTCTTTTCCCCAAATTACCATCCGTTAGCCGCTTGATGTTACTAAGGTTCGCAATATTGGCATCTCTGCACACATAGATAGCGGAAAAACGACGATATCAGAGAGGATCCTGTTCTACACTAATCGAATTTCATCAATGCATGAGGTAGGCTTTCTCTTCATTTGTGTATTTACCTTTTTAAATGTAAAGTACACTGTTTTCCGCTTCGGCTTAGGACCCCTTTCTACGACGGGAAGGCGATACTTCTTTTGAATAACACCATATTGCGCTTTGTGCTTCGGCGACAGTAATGTGGGGGTCATGGATCCATTTTTGGGGGATAGCGGGGACAAGCACACCGCGTATGCAGAACGTTTTGGACCTTTGTGCCTTCCCCAGTTTCGGTCTTCTTGACTTTGTGTTGACACTGGGTGTAGGTAGGGGAGTGGAGGAGAATGAGGTAGATGCAGCGAAAGTCACCGTCCATGCATCACTCGGATGTAGAGCACACGGTGGACATAACCGAAACCGTTAGACCCTTGCATCTAAGAACTTCGTTTGCTTGGTGACTCACTGTCATCCATAAAAAACAGACCTATACATCCTTCAATGTCCCATGAGCTGCTGGTATATCGGTTCTACAAAAATCACTGTACATCTGGTCTTCATCAAAATACTTTCGATAAATATGAAGCCAGTTCCCAACCAATAGTATTCGAAAACTTCCTATCGCTCAGTCTGTTTAATCAAACACTCTTGATGAACAAGCTCAATCCCGACGATTTTTTGGAAGTGACATAGAAAACACAGCGTTCCTCAGTTAATCCCTCTTCGATCTTTAGACTGGGATAGGCGAGTTGTACCGAACGCTAACCTAGGAAAAAACAACAAAATGCTTATCGCGTACTATCAAGCACTTTCTGTCTGCTACTGAATTTAATGGAAGTAGCTATTTTCTTCTAAGAACATTGCACAACTCTCGCCAGGATCTTGGAAAAACACACTGCATGTTTAGTATATAAAAACGTTCTTATCCATTCTGTTTCTTTGCCCAATATTGAGAACTTTTTAAAGTCACTTTTTTCTCTGAGTTTAATCGAGTACTATGTGAATGTATCGACCCTAACAACCTCTAAGAAGGCCAGACATCCTGTGTTCATAAGCTGGGATAGGTCCTCCATCTGCTGGAGCGCTCTTATATAGTGACTTTATTTCCTCACAGTTGTTATCTCGTACGCTGAGTTTGGCTGAATTTTAGTCTATATTCTCGTTGCTACCTGATGCAGTCGCCTAGAATCGGGTTAGCTAGGGCTTTTTTGGAAAATTGCATCCCAACGTCGTGTCATACCACAAAGTGGGTGGCGTTCGCTGTTGCGGCACGTTGGTACGAAAAATAACAAAAACGTGATTTTTTGGGCCTTAGCAGCGTTTGTTCGCTTTCTCTCCCTACAACGCCGGAAAATATAGTATGCTCTATCATATTATGAAGTTTTGGTTTATTACTGTCTTAGGCGTTTTGAATAACCGGCGGAGATCCATAGAGTGGCCCTTTGAGGCTTCGTATTGGTAATAACCACTTACTTGCAAATTTTCTGTAGGTCGAATTTCGGCATATCCATCCATTTCCTTAATTAGAGTTATCCAATATTCTTATTGGTCAATAGGCCACCTTTACTGAACCAATAGGAGTTTTTGTTGGTCGATTTTATTATCTCCTGATACTTTTCACATATATTTAGCTAACTAAAACAATTACCACTGGCTTTAATTTATTTTCTACTGTTCACTTTCCGCGCATTAAACACGCATTAACTACTCCTTAATCAAGCCTTGAACCTTTAACCACAATTTCCTTAAGAAAATTGGGCAGGGAGCTTCTATAATTTGGCAGTATTGATGTGGGCTGGGTACTCGCGTCCAAAGTTTGTCATTAGAGAACCTCTGACGAAGTGACACGTCAGTATGCATCAAAACCAAAAGGAACTGGCATGCGTGGTCTTATGCCTTTCTGCATTTTGCTTGGCTCCCTTTTTTCAGTATCGATAGCATTTCCTTATGAACGCAGGGGTTCAGATGTACAATAATACTGAACCACTCTCTGCTCAATGCTTGTGTACAGGTTCGTGGAAAGGACGGTGTTGGCGCTGTCATGGATTCCATGGAACTGGAACGGCAACGGGGCATCACGATCAAGTCTGCATCCACATACACCTCTTGGCGAGGTCACACCATCAACCTCATTGACACACCCGGTCATGTGGACTTCACTGTGGAGGTGGAGAGAGCGCTACGTGTGTTAGATGGTGCCGTTCTCGTACTCTGTGCGGTTGGTGGAGTTCAGAGTCAAACCTTGACTGTGGACAGACAGATGAGACGCTATGGCGTGCCCAAGGTGGCTTTCATCAACAAAATAGATCGTCAGGGCTCCAATCCAATGAAGGTACTAAAGCAAATGCAGTAAGTCAGGACTTTCCGTCTAATCCTTTCGATATCCTCGCCAGTAAGGCTCACACCTTTATTTAATGACTTTTGTGCCAGTCTTCAGCCAGCAGATAGCTTATAAAACCGATAGTTCTCTCTAAAAATGGCTTGTTTAATAGTGCGGTTAATCTTTAGTTCATCATTGACTTTTTGACGTTAAATTGTATTGGTTCTATGACCTTGGAAATAATTTGGAGACAGGAGATATGAAAAACTGGCCGACTATTTGTTTTTTGGATATTCTTGATGAGCATTTATAACAATTAGGTTAATAGAATTATTCAAATCTCTCAAAACCTCCCAATAATTACGTGAGCCTAGTAGTCATTCTGTTGGATTCTAGAGGATTGCTAAGGAAATCCTGCCTGGGCAGTCAGCTAACTGCATCAGAATTGGTGGATTGCATACGTGCAGTAGGCTGGGTGGCTTCATCGCTTAGTGTGATTAAAGTCAAGTCTATCTAATTTTTACGGCTCTGCTCATGCCTGACCTAGCCGACCTCGATGATGTCACGGACGGCACCTCTCTTCGCGTGACGAGCCGTGGCAGCAGACCTGCAAAGCTCTACCCGTCCCCTTCTCCAGCGACGGAGACCGAAAACCGAAGGTCCAAGAACCGCTTCCATGTCTTAATGAACGGTGTCGAGGCAAGTTTTTGGTTGCTCACTCCTTCGGGGCCTCCAAGTGGGCTGCGGCGCCCGATCGAGAGCAGGGTAGCAAGGCTCTCGGCGTGCCTTCGTAGCTCAATTGGTAGAGCGTTGGCTGTACTAAAGCCTTCCCTGCTGGTGTGTGTTCGAATCCTACCAGGGCCACGCATTTTTCACAATTGGATTAATTGAATTATTCAAATCTTCCACCCCCTCCCCCTAATAAACTCTGTTTTGACCCGTGCCCAACTGGATTGGTTACCGTCATCAGCTAGCCATAATCAAAGGTCAAGCTTAGAAGCTTTAAACTTCGAATTTGCCTCCCATTTGTCATTGAGCTTGGTGGTACACTGTTTGAGTCACTGTGTGATATGCTGGAGCCGAGAACAGGTGCTTGACGCCCACATCCTTGGAGCATAGCGGGGTTGGGGAGAGGGAGGGGGGGGGTAGACGGAGGCAGCTCGTCTC